GACAACCCCCCTGGCGCCCCGCCTCGGCCTTGGCTCTCAAGCACTCATCGGCCCCTCTCCCTTCTCCACCTGGGTCTGGCTTCTTAAGGTCTGCAAATTCTTCCATGAGAGCATATGGGACACCTATGGGGGTCCAGTGCCTGAGGCAGCAGGGTAAAAGATAAAGGATGGTTAAGAATGGCTCCTTCCTGGCCCTTGGGGAACTTATAAATATCACTCAGTTCATTCTGGCAACCCCCAGTTGATTATAAAGCAAGCAACCACAGAGGTCTTTTTCTTTTCGATGGTTATGGAGCATAAGTGGTTAAAATCTCAGACCCTGCGGTTAGAGAGACCTGCACTCAAATCCTGGCTCCCTGTCACTAGCTGGGTGACTCATCTTTTGCCTTCTTAATATTTAGGCCTCAATTTGTACTTCACTAAAATAGAAGTAACTATACCTGTCACATAGGTAGATAAAATGCTGTTTGTAATGCACTTAGCACAGGGCCTGGCTTTGGTGAGTGCTTGGTGAAAGGTAGCTGTCATTATTGTTACCTAGAAATGGACAGAAGGACATACAAGATAACCTGACAGCTCAATGTTGTAACCTGGTATAGAACTGAACACTGGGTTCAGTTCTGGATCTGCCTTGAGTTAGCCTCGTGCTAGTCTGTGTGCCTCGTTTTCTTCATCTGTAAAATGTAGGTGCCACTATGTGGTATTTTTGTCCTTGTAGCTAATTTGATAAATTAGACACAAGGACAGAGTTATCAAATGCTAACTGTGTACTGGGCCCTATTGCAAGGGCTTCTTGTGGTAATTCATTTGCTCCTCACCATATACCTGCTTGAGGCACAGAGGTAATATGCCCAGGGTCAAGCAGCCAGGAGCGGATGAAGCTGAGATTCCAGTGCAGGCAGCCCAGTCCCAGAGTCTGCAGAGTCAATCTTTCTTACTTGAAGAGTAAATGGTCTAATGGTTTTGAAAGTGCTTTTGGAGTGGGAAGCACTCTACAAACTTAAGAGATTATTGCTATGTATCCAAGTCTCTTGCTGTTTGGTCTTCAGCTGAGATCTTTAACCTTACCTGGCAGGGCATAGATTTGGGGAGCTACTTTAGGTTTTCCTGAAACCTTTTAATCACTGGCTATTATGAGTTGAATTGTGTCTCCCCAAAAATATGTATTGAAGTCTAGCCCCTAATACCTTAGAATGTGAGCTTATTTGGAAATAGGTTATCAAATTAAAATGAGGTCACTGAGCCCTGGCTGGTGTGGCTCAGTTGGCTGAGCATCACCATGCAGGGCGAAGGGTCGCCGGTTCCATTCCCAATCAGGGCGCATGCCTGGGTTGCAAGTTCGGTCCCCGATCAGGACATGTGCGAAAAGCAACCATTCGATGTTTTTTCACATTGATGTTTTCCCCTCTTTCTCCCTCCCTTCCCCTCTCACTAAAAGTAAATAAATAAATCATTTCTAAAAATGTGGCAATAGGGATGGGTCCTAATCCAATGACTGGGATCCTTATAAAAAGGGAGAATTTGGACACACACACACACACACACACACACAGAAGGAAGACCATGTGAAATCACAGGAGAACACCACAAAAAGATGGAGGATTAAAATGATCATCTCCAAGCCAAGAAACACCTGACCCTACCAGAAGCCAGGAGAGAGGTCTGGAACACATCGTCAGTGCCTTCAGCGGGGGCAGGGCCCTGCCAACACCTTGATTTTGGACTGCTGGCCTCCAGAATTGTAACAAAAAAAAAATTTCTGTATCTGAAGTGTCTAACCCATGGTCTGCAGGCCACATATGGCCCAGGATGTCTGTGAATGTGGCCCAACACAAAATCATACATTTACTTAAAACCTTTATTTTGTACATCAGTTTTCATTAGTGTTGTGTATTTAATGTGTGGCTCCAGACAACTCTTCTTCCAGGGCAGCACAGAGATGCCAAAGTTTGCACAGCCCTGTAAGCCATCCAGTTGGTGGCACTTTGTATGGCAGCCCTAGGAAATGTATACACTGAGATCAAGGGAGGTGGAGATTAAGGGGAAGAAGGAGATGAGTGGGAACTTCAAGGCTGATGATGGGTAGTAAGAGGATGCTCAGAAGTCCAAAGGCTCCTAGATATACATGTGTGTGCGTATGCATTTTGTCAGTGTGAAAACTGATCTGTGAGCTCCCCAAGTTTGGAGATATTTCCTCTCTAAGGAGGTCACATGAGAGAAATGAACATTAAATCATCTTCCATCTCCCCTGAAACAGGTGGGAAAAAGGAAGTGAGAAACAGCGGAGCTAACTTTGTAAGTCCCTTGTACCAGTGAATAAGAGAAGCAGAATTGGAAATTGGGTTTTCTGACTCCTGGCACACAGACCGACCCTCAGCGCCTGATTTTTTGGTCGGCACACAGGAATTCCTGTTACAACTTATTTCACGAGATTACATTCTGGTTCATTTTTTTTTTAAAGGAAAATTTTGATTGAAATATAACATACAGAAATGTGCACAGATCGTAAGTGGACAGCCCGACATCTCCATCTCTGTAAACGGCACCCAGACAGAATTAGCACATCACCCGCACCCTTGAAGCCCTCCTGCCCCTCCCAGTCAGCAAGGCCAACAAAGGAACCACTATCCTGACTTCTAACATCACAGACTGATTTTGCCTGTTTCTGAGCTTGATATAAATGGGATTTCACAGTACTCTTTTGTGTCTGCCTTCTTTCACTCCACATTATGTTTGTGAGATTTGTGTGTGTTTTGCATATGGAGTAGTACATTCTCACTGTGGTAGAGTACTCTGCGGTTCTGGTCTTTTGAACCAAATCAAGGGTCCACAGAGAAAAAAGTGTCCTGAAATTATTCAGGCTGGTCCTTAAAAAAAATATTAAAGCAACCAACTTGCTGAGGCAACAACAAAAAAAGTTGGTTAATCTTTACAAATTGGAGTCAATTTATTAGCCATCTATTAAAAGCCATTTTCCCAGATCACTCCCCAACCCCCTTTCCTTCTCTTGTTGCTTGGATTCGCACAGCCCCAGCTGTGTTACAGTTGGTGTGACTCAGTCTGGACTGATGGGTCGGGGTTGGAGGTTAACTAGCTGTGTTCTACCTGGGTGAACCCATCCTGACCTCAGGGTTGCTCAGAGCCTGGACTGTTTCTCATTTTGCCAGTGGAGTTTCTGTACCATCCGTCACACAGGTGGTATCGGAGCCACCTTCATCAGGGAATCTGCCTCTCTCATCTGACGTTTTGGAGTTATTCCCCTTGTCTAAATTGCCCTCAGGATAAAGCTCCTGAAGCCTCAGGCCAGCCAGAGGCAGAATGGCCTCTGCAGAGGAGGCTGGTCCTCCTGCCGAGCCCCTCCCTTTGCAGCCACTGCTAACAGTCACTCCCACAGCTTTCTCAGGCTCTGGCCTTCGTTCCCAAGGGCTGCTTGGCTGGAAAGGGCCTGCACCCTCTCCTCTCGCCTTTTCTTTGCCAGACCACAGTTGGCCCTGATTCCTTCATGCTAACTGACCATTCTGGGGTCTCCCTTTTGCTGGTAACAATGACCTAATCACAAAGTGCAATTTTAAGGGAGCCCCCATGCAAATCAGCTGGACTGCCGTCCTGAGCCTGAGTCCATATATGGTACAATCCTTGAACTGCGCAAGGATAGTGCTGAGTGCAACACAGCTGATTCACCAGCTGTCCCTCTCCCTCCCTGGGCTGTGCCTGCCCACTCCAGTTTCCAGTGACATCAGCACTGTGCACCCATAGCAAAAGGTTAAGGACTTCTGTGAGCCTTCGGGAGCTGGCAATTGACGGCAATTTTTACTTTTTTCTCTGCTCCCCAATTCCTGGGACGCTGTCCTTTCTGGAATGTAATAGAATAATAATATGGCTGATGCTTTTTCTCCAGTGCTTCTCTTGTGGGGGGCCTGGTTCAGGGAGGCAAGGAGAGAAGACAGTTTATAGCTCAGAGCCTTGCTCAAGCCCAATTGCAGAGGACCGTTTTGAACAGGAAGCAGTCCCAGGGCCCCACCCGACACCAGCCCTTCGTTGGAGACTTGGCTATTCTTTGGTCTCCACCCTTAAATAGTTTTTATTTTTTTGGCCTTCTTTTAAGTATGAGCAATGGAACTAAGAAATTCTCAGACACAGGGAAGAATACTGAAACCTGGATCACCAGCTCTATTCAAAGCTCATTAGTGAATAATCACTTTCCTCTTATTAGCATCCTCAACCGTGTTCCAGTGCCTATTGAAAGCAAAGCCTTGGACTTGATTCCGGCAGCGGTGTGCTCAAGCCAGTTCAAACCAGCCATGAACTTAATTGTTAAATATTCAAGAAATTTGCAAGCCAATTGTTAGAGACATTAATTACTAAAGATTAAGTTACCTATAGTTAAAATGGAACATATTTGATTTAAACAAAGGTAATAATCAAAACTCGTTCAGTTCCTCATTAGTTCACTGTATTTTACTTTTACCTGTGCCCTTGAGGTTATCCCCACTATTGTGTCTGTATTGTATAAATGCCATGTACCAGTGTGATTCTGCACATCTCTTCCCAGCTCCTTGTTCAGTAATGTCACACTGGAAGCTCGAAATCAGGCATGCTGGCAGTGTTCAGGTGGGAAACACAACACATCAGGCCCTTCCTCCTCCACGGTCCCAGAGCCAGCTGTTAGACCGCACATACAGACCCGCGGGTGCGGAGGTCAATAAAGAATGACTGACTGACTCACTCCCTGCCTTCAAGGTACTTATACTGCAGTGAGGGAGACAAGTCCTTCAAGACTTGAACTGGCCTGTGTCTCTTCTAAAATATCGAATGGCAAGTTAAAGAGCATGAGCTTGGAGGTCAGAGAGAGACCTACTTTAGCATCCCAGTTTTGCCGCTTACTCACCACGGCATTGGAGCCAGGTTGGGGATCAGGTAAGCCCCAGGAGAAGGCAGACCAATTGTTTTTAACCGTCTTCTGTTCTGATTGGTCTGGTCGTTAAACATTTTAAATATCAATACTTACCCAGCAGAAGAGATACCATGATCAAGAAGGTGGTTTTCTTAGGGTGTGACTCACCCATTGTACTAAGGGTGTGCTGACCCCTGCAGTTTCCCCAGATGTGGGAAATTCGACTGCTGATTTGTGGTAGCGGGGGACTGCTTTTGTGCTTTCCCCTGGCGGCGGGGGCGTGGCGGAGACGGTGTGCGTGTGAGAAAATTTTAAATATCAGTCATGATTACAACTAGGGGGCCTTACAGACCCTATAGATCACCCCCATTACACCAGAACCCAGGCCTGATTGGGAGGGAAAGACTCGGAGAATGGCACACAGGCTCCCAGCCTCTGGCTGAGCTTCTAGAGCTCAAATATGGAAAATGCTTACCATACTTCATCAAACCTGAGGCGTCTTTGCTCATAAGATACACTTATTATTTCATGAACCACTATTAAAGAAGAAGTGCTGCCAAATAAACAATGACATGCCATTGATTGTAAGATCAATGTTAAATGAATAAGATGTTAAAATGAGAAAAGGTGTGCATCTTAGAATCAACCAAATAATGACACTGCAAATCTTCCACCAAAGGTAAATATTAATTTCTAAAATGCTGCCAGATCAGTCAAAATTGGCAGAAGTATTCATGAGCTTCTAAGAAGACGGGAGCCCAGGTAGGAAGGTGAAAGCAGGCTCGTGGAGCTCCTTGAAGCCCAGCTAGAGGATGAGGATTTCCTCCTGCAGGCAGTAGGCAGTCTCCAGGGGTTCCTGGCAGAGGAGTATGACATCTCTGATCAAGTGGCCTTGGGTGTCTGAAATAGTTATGAATCCATCTGTCAATGGAAGAATGTCCAAACCTGTAGAGAATTTTTGTAAGAGTGTATTTGAACCAAGCTGATGACACACTGGGAAGCAAGATCTCAAAAGCTCTGCAGAATGACAGTTTTGTAGTATCTTCTATACACTTGGAACTAAAGAGGGAAGTGAGGAAAATTACATGAAGGTGGGAGAAAGCAAGGTACAGGATAGTTAACAAGATTAAATGCTCCCTTGAAGGTGATTATGCCTCCAAGGGGTCTGAAAAAGATCACTCTGACATTTCAAAGGTGTGTTAACCTAGATACAGGAGAACAATGGACGGGGCTTGCTTAAGGCAAAGATAAATCCTTTACTGAAGAAGTTATAGCCCTGGGTCTTGACTATCTACCTTGACCTCCCCAGTTTGGAATTTATGATCAGATCTCACTCTGAAGTTACTCTCTGCCACTGAACTTGTCAGATTTATTACAGAGCCCCTTCTTCATTCACACATCTCATACCAAAGAACTCCCCTCTTACACAAGAGAGTTGGACTAGAGCAACTGCTAAGCTCAACTTTGACCAGCACTGGTGACTGTGTTCACTCCTGATACAAACGAGGATGCACTCACGGGACAGCTCTCTTTTAATAAGGAGCTCAGATGTAACCCAGGAATTCCTGGGTATTTATCCAAAGAAAATCAAAACTTTAACTCAAAGAGGTATCTGCACTACCGTGTTCATTGCAGTATTATTTATAATAGTCAACACATGGAAACACCCAAATGTCCATCAGTGGGTGAATGGGCAAAGAAAATGTGAGATGTATATACATCTCCTTAGAAGTAGGCACCTTGAGACCTCATACAGCTCCAATTGCCATCAGCTGCCCTGTCATATTTTCCTGAATCTCATTAATAGTCTGAAATCTCTTCCCCTTCAAAGGTGATTTTAGTTTTGGGAAAAGGGAGAAGTCACAAGGCACCAAATCTGGCCTGTAGAGGGGCTGAGTCACCTGAGTGATTTGATGTTTAGCCAAAAAATTCTGCACAAGAAGTGATGCATGAGCTGTGTGGGCACAAGGTTGTGATGAAGCTGCCAATCACCAGTTGCCCATGGCTGCGGCCTTCTGAATCATCCAAATAGTTTCTGTGGAGGAATGTTCAAGCTTAATGCAAAATTTGATGCAGATTTGCTGCTCTACTTGCTCAGTCATTTTGAATGCAACAGCCACACAGTGCACACACTCACTCACTGATGCCTACTGCCCCCACTGACTAGTACAGTGAAGTCATTATTGTTCACGCATGCACATTCAAGTCTACTCTCCTTGGCTGCCAGGTTACATCAATGTGGTGTGCAAACTGTTCTCATTATATTAACATGGCTAGACTTCTTCTGGGCAGACCTTTGTATATCACATTTACATGTATCACAAATATATATATATATAAATGTATGTTTATATATATAAAAATGGAATATTATTCAGCCATATAAGAGAATGAAATCTTGCTATTTGCAACAGCATGGATGGACCTTGAAGGCATTATGCTAAGTAAAATAAGTCAAACAGAAAAGGATAAGTACAATAATATCTAATTCATACGTGAAATCTTAAGAAAAATGAAAACAAAAAAACCCAGGTTCATGGATGTAGAGAACAGATTGGTGGTTGCCTGAGGCAAAGGGTGGGGGTAAGGGTAATGAGCAAAAGGGGTCAAAAACTGTACTCTTCCAATTTAAAGTGAATGTCATGTGAAAGTAATTATAGCATGATAACTATAGTTAATACTGTATTGTATATTTGAGAGTAGCTTGGAGAGTGGATCTTAAAAGTTCTCATCATGAGGAAAAAAATTTTGTAATTATTTATGGTAATGGATGTTCACTGGACTTATTGTGGTGGTAATTTTGCAATATATACAAATATCATTACATCATAAATCTGAAACTAATATAGTATTATGTCAATTATACCTCAATGTCAAAAAAAGTAGTATTGACATTTTTAAAAAATAAAGGGCTCAGTTACACCCATCCAGGTGTGCAGGGTCTGTGCGTTCTCTAAGTCGCTGAGTGACAGACAAACCCTCTTGATAGGGGAACTCAAGAGTTAAAAGATTTTAGCTTCATTTTAGCTTCAGTCATAGTTGATAGGCTTAAGTGATTAATGCATGTGGAAAGCTGTTAGTCCAGGGGTTGGAATGCATGACCTACATGACTCCAAGAGGTCCACAAGCAAGTCAACCTTTGTGCCCCAGGGGTCTGCAAGCAATCAAAATGGTATCTGAGCAATCCACAGACAAAAAAATACTAGGAAAATCACCATGGACTGCAATTGTTATCTGATTAACCTTTTTCCAAACCCCTTACCTACCCTTTCTATCTCCCTATGAAAAAGGTCAGCTTGAGATGGGATGTTATGATGGTTTTTGAAGGTACGTAACCTGCCATCTCCTCAGGTCACTAGCATCTGAATAAAGTGCCTGTAAAGATTCAATTCTTGTCTCTACTTATTGATTCTGGTAGTGACAGGCAGCATGAATGCTGACTTTTCTGGTTTCATATCCTGGCAACTCCATCAGGACACCTCCAGTACTTTCCAGCAATCTGGGTATTTGGCAGGGAGTCCTGTTGGCTGCTTGGATACAGAGCGATCTGATCAGATCACTGGGGAGGAGAAGGACGGGGCCATAGGAGGAGGTTCCTGGAAGCAATGGTAAACAGCCTGAGATGGGATTGGCTGAGAAGCTGAATGCCTCCAGTGTGCGTGGAATTATGAGCTGGAAGATTCTGAAATAAAAGAAGGGCTCTCATGCTTGCTGGCTTTCTGGCCCTCTCTTCTTCCTCAAGGATGCCTGGGTGATTAAGCTGCAGCCGCCTGCCATTCCCCAATGGATGGTATATTGGATGGGAAGGAACTCTGAGCACAGCTTTGGATCAGGCTGGCCTGGTAGGGGATGGCAGGGTTTTTCTTCTTTGGGCAGTCTAGAGGGGACAGACTCTGAGGCAGAAGCCTACCATTCCTAACTGACAGGCTTAACTGATTAAAGTTGTAACTGAAGAGTTAGAGTTTAGCCTTAATTGATAGGTGTGACTAAGGCATATGGAAAGCTGTTATTCCAAAATTGTGTAATTTTTTAATAAAGACTTCTTTCCTTTATCACCAAAACTTTGCCTCCAGAATTTGCCTAGAGGGTAACAGTGGGCAGGAGGACCCCACTTGCTATTGGTAACACCTGGACTGGAGACTATAGGTCCTGCAAAGTGATTCTACTGTGGGTCTCCAATTCTTGGCACTCCCCATCATCTTCACTTTCAAATGAATCGTTGCGTTTTCTGGTTCAGAATTGCAGTCCCAGATTACGACTCAGAATTGTAGTCAGGAATTAAGGTGGCTTCTGGTTTGTGTGACATTACAGAGCCCTGTTTGGTAGAATGTGGAGGGGGATCCTCCATTCTAGTAAGTAGCCCTTTGGAGCCAAAATGGCTGACTGGTTGACCTATACTTATGAACCTAAGAAAATGGAGGTTTTTTGGTTATACTGCTTGGTTTAGTATAATCTGAACTCAAGAGAATGGTGGCTGCTGAACCAGTGTTTATTTTATTTATTTTATTTTTTTATTTTTTAAAAGGGTTAATAGTTTTTGTGTTTTTTTAAGGAAAAAATTCTACAAACATTTAATCAAAAAATGGATAAAGAATACCCAAAATTCATTTAAAGCTTTTTAAAAATAACAGAAACAGGCAAGAATATACAAAAACAGGTCTAGTTTCAACAAATAATAAAGTAACAATTAAAACAACATCATTGTCACAATCAGATTAATAAGCATTAAAAATATTGGTAGTATCAAGTATTGGTGACTGTGAAAGGAACTGGGTATTCAGACTCTTTCTTCATCTTCTTAAAGCAGTCCCTTTAGCATATCTTGTAGTGCTGGTTTGGTGGAGATGTATTCTTTTAGCCTTCTTTTTTTCTGGGAAACTCCTTATTTCACCTTCCATTTTAATTGAGAGCCTTGCTGGGTAGAGCAGTCTTGGTTGCAGGCCTTTGTTTTTCATGACTTGGAATATTTCTTGCCATTCCCTTCTGGATTGCAGTGTTTTTGTTGAGAAGTCAGCTGCTAGCTGAACCGGGGCTCCCTTATGTGTTACTACCTGTTTCTCCCTTGCTTCCTCTAGGATTCTCTGTTTGTCTTTGATATTTGCCATTTTAATGACGATGTGTCTTGGAGTGAGCCTCATTGAGTTCCTCTTGAATGGGGCCCTCTGTGCTTCCTGGACTTGCGTGACTTTTTCCTCTCCTCAAAAGGAATTTTTCCATCATTATTTTTTCAAACAGGTTCTCTATCCCTTGCTCCTCTTCTTCTCCTTCT